AGACTCTAGGAAAGGATCTTTTCCATTGCATGTTCTAGCTTCAAGAGGCTGTCAGCATTCCTTGGCTCATGGCCTCATCTTCCATCTTCAAAGCCAGTAGCATAGTATCATCTAGTCTCTTCCTCTGACTCTGACTTTTCTTCTCCCTCTTATAAGGGTGTATATGATTACTTTGCACCCACCAACGATATTTAAAATAATTTCCTCATTTCAAAATACTTAATTACAGAGGCAAAGTCCCTTTTGACATGTAAGGTATTAAGACCTGGACATCTTGGTTTGGGGGTGCATTATTTTTACTATACCCATTGTTTGCAACATTGACTGCATATTAAAATCAGTGAGGAGCTCTAAACATTTCTGATACCTGGTCACCCTTCGGAACCAATAACATCAGCATTTCTAAGGGAATTTCTTTGTTTGTTTGTTTGTTTGAGATGGAGTCTTGCTCTGTCACTCAGGCTGGAGTGCAGTGGCATACTCTCTGCTCACTGTAACCTCCACCTCTTGGGTTTAAGCAATTCTCCTGCCTCAGCCTCCCGAGTAGCTGGGATTACAGGCATGTGGCACCATGCTCGGCTAATTTTTGTATTTTTAGTAGAGACAGGGTTTCACCATGTTGGTCGGGCTGGACTCAAACCCCTGACCTGCCCATCGTGATCTGCCCATCTCAGCCTCCCAAAGTTCTGGGATTACAGTCGTGAGCCACCATGCCTGGCATTCTAAGGGTAAAACCCAGGGATCAGTATTTTTAAAACCTCTCCAGGTAATTCCAGTGTCTAGCCAAAGGTTTAGAACCACTGCTTTATCTTTCTGTTTCAGTCTTACACCTTCTACCCTACCTCTAAGTTTCCTGTCCATGTCTGAACACATTTAGGATATCCTACTTGCAGAGCAATTATAAGGCACGTGGAGAGCCATCAGCCAAGAGCAAAAGACCCCAGTAATTTTATATTTACTGTCACATTTATCAAGAGTAGCTTGATTGAATGCTACAAGGGGAAATGAAGGGAAGGAGACACCTTTCAAAATCAAGTTGTTTTTTACAAGGGAGGCTGTTTCTTGTTTTGTTCATGTAACTCAGCAATTTCAGGAGTGTTACAATCTACACATGGGATTTGATCCATATTCCTCAGTCTCGTCTTTTTTCAAGTAAGCTTGAACCCTAAATTTATATAATACTTCCTAAAAGCATCTCTGCATTTTTGCTTTTATCATTACTTTCTATGTGAACTTCCCTCTCTGTTTATTATACAGCATTTATTTATTCTTTTTCCTTGAAAGCCAACTGGTTCAATCATTCTGTGCAGCATTTAAGGATGCTCTGGTCCTCAAGAAGCACTCAAATACTTAGCTATAATGTCATCTGGCATTTAGACTGAACTGTCTTTCATTCGTGTTTATCCTTTTATTTAAAATATTCTTAACCAGCTCATAAGCTTCTTTAACCAGAGGCTGAGAAATAGGTTTTTTGTTCCCATTATATAAGTGTCTTGCACATGGTTGGTGATCAGCAACTAGTTGCTGATGACTTGGAAGATTTTGCTTGTGTCTTAAAATTAGATGTCAGTTATATCAAGAAGGTTTTTTTTTTTTTTTTTAATACCACAAAGTGAGTTAAGACCAGTGTTATGTCATCATAGCTCTCCAAGGCAGTTTCACATTAGATTACATTTGTCTGTCTTATGTCAGTTTCTTTGAAGTCTGAGTTTTGTTCATTGGTAAGCCTAGCATCACAGAAGTGACAAAAATCATGTCTGAAGGATACATAAGAGCGTACACCAGCCTAGAAACTCAGATGTTACTGCAATACAGATACATAGTTAGTGTAAGTCATGTAGTGTAAGCTATATATCCCAGACGAACAAGATATGGACATTTGTGGTGCCTTCTTAATGAGGCTTTTTTTTCTGTCCAAGATGAAAGATTTGGTAGATGGACAAAAATTTAGAACCTAATGTTATTGGTGATTTTGTTGTCAATGTTTTTTAGAAGTACTGCAGGTCATAGTAAACATGAATAATACAACCAACAGATTGACATCTCTATGTGTAATTTGTTATATAGTTTACTTTTCTGACTTAGTATCATATAATTGAAATATAACCATGACTGTTTTTATTATAATAATTTAACAAATCTTTAAGAAATCTTTTACCTGAGTTTAATTAAAAATACTTTCAAGTTCAGTGCATTAAGAACATTCTATAAAACTCTGAAAATGGAATTGAAATAAGCATAAGATATGTGACATTCCAGGATCAGTTGCCTTCTGGCACCATAACTCTTTCATGTTCAGTGTTATAAAAGTTAACCTTCTTGCTCCCTAGAATGCTTTATATAGAGAATACTTACCCAGTTAAATGGAAAGTTAATTTAGCTTCTGAAATAACTAGAAGTTTTGAAAAAATCTGTCAATGTCTATCTGTCTACCTTAACTATCTGTCTACTTTTGAACTTTCAGTTTTCATAATTGATGTTAATGATATTAATAAGGTAGAAATCAACAGAAAAGTCATGGTTCTGAAGATCATAGAATTGTATGAACTTATGAATGGCTAGCTGATCTTGCTTTCTGTTTTGATGACCCAGAAATTGGCTCTTGTCAAGAGACTAGAGGTTTTAGACATTGAGAGACTGCACGTGAGGCTGAGACAGCCACCAGAATACCAATGTATTAATTCCAGTAAGAATGATAATGCCCACATAGACCACAAATGCTAAGGTTTGTATAACAAAGGCATAAGCTCCTTATAGTCAAGCTACATGCGAAACTAAGAAATAATTAAAAGTTTTATTAGTTTAATAAATCACTTCACAAAGACCTTAAATATTTTAAGTCTGTTCTGTCTGCAAACTCTTTGTATGAGAATCAGAAGTTTGCCTGTAGAACATGGAATCAGAACAGTGGGAATTAAATATCTCTAGTGTTCATGGGTTGTTATGTTTAGTAATATATCAGTTTGGTGTACAATATGGTATTGCCAATGAAACTAGAACTATTCTAACTCTGTTAATTCTAGCCCCACATATACTTCTCCATACTTAGAAAATACTTGGAATAGGCTGTGGTCATGGGATTGGAAATAGTTAAAATTACTTGAACTTTGATATCCAAATCTACTTCTCCTTTAGACAGTGCTGACATGGTGGCTTCCCCATTTCCTCCTCTTTTTCTGTCTCTTTGGCTGATCAACACCTGTACTATTAAGATTTTGTTTTGAATATTTGCTGTTACATTTGGTCAGTTTGCTGCTAAGTATTGCTAGGCAGGGAGCATTCGTCTAATGGGAAACTGTATTTTATGTAGATTTTATAGTTAAACTCTTTAGTAAGCAATCTATTTTCCTGTTTGAGTGTTTTTATTTTTTGAGGGTGGGTGAGTCACACTGTAGTTTAAGTTTGTTAAATAAACAGAGGTTATGTCACACTGTAGTTTAAGTTTGTTAAACGGGTTATTTATCGAGTGTGTGTTCTGTGTTAAATAATACAGTAGTTATTTTTCACAGGGTGCATAGTCCATTTTCAAAAAGTCTTATCAGGTAGGTATTTTTCACCTAAAAGATGAGTAAGTTGAGATAGAGAAATTAAGTCTCAAAGCTAATAGGTGACAGAATCAGTATTTTAAATCTTGTCTGATTCTAAAGTCCTTATTTTTTTCTCTTGTCCTATTATTTTTAATAAAATATCTTCAGTGCTTGAATGCATTTTTTCTTTTGAAACTTCTAACTCTAAAAATAATATTATTCAACAATGATTAGCGGCATTTGGGGGAACGCTTTTTAAATTTAAAAATCAGTGATCTATATGAAGAAAGTGTTGTGGTAGTTAGTAAATACTTCCCTGCCTCCCATCTCACTGGTCTAGAATAAGAATGAATGATTTTGTAAACAATCTTTGTTTGTTGAACAACAACAACAAAAAAAAAAAAAACAGCTTTTTCAGGGTCAGATTAAGTTGTAAATAGTACCAGAAAGCTTTTTAAATTAAATACTTTAACTTGATTTTATTTCTATGTAAATATTTTAATGAAAGGAAAAGGAATTTTCTATTTAAAATATTTGCCACATATATTTAACCTCTAATAATATTCTTAATCAGTCTCAGGTAGAAAGAAAATGTTTAATTCTTGTTCAGTTATGTAAGCTGATTTTCATGTAGGCTTCAGCTCATCAAAAAAATATATCAATCTTTGGATTTTTTTTTCTTTTATTTAAGTATTCTAAGGATAAACAAATCAGAATTATTCACATCTAAATCATTCATGGAGTTGTGAAAATGGACTTGAATTATTTTAATATTCTCACCTTTTTTGCTACCTCACAACTTTGTTATTATAACTAAATGCCAAAATTGGGTAGTTTGGGGAGGTGAGGGAAAGAAAATTCTCAAATGTTTTAAGTTTAACAGTGATTATAAAATTGATTCAATCCTTAATAATCTTTAAACAAATACTAAACTTTTTGTCAGTTGCTCTGAGGTTTGCTTATAACCAATATTTCTACATTTTACAGTAATCTTTCAACAAAATGCAAATTTGTTTTAATGGCAATCATTTATATATTGAGTCTTTTTTTTGATGAAAGAAATTTTAGTTATTTCTCTTCTTTTAAACTGCCAACAGTATTTGCTATTCATAGATGTTCTGTCTTCAATAAGGTCTATCAGAGTGTAAAACTAGATGGGTATTTTTCTTTCCTCTAAAATGGAACGGTCTTTCATTATGCAGTGTTCTTAGGTGAATTCTCTTGTTTAAGAAGCCAGAATACAAGAGAGTGCTATATTAGTGTATTATTCTCATAACAAACAAGCACTGTTCTGTTGCTACCTGCTTGGCCATTGTTTCTGATTGTGTGTGCTTTGCAGTGGTATTTGGATGGTTTCCTGCTCTCTGCTAGCACAAAAAGGCATTTCTGTTACAATGGCCCCTAACCACACAATGACGGCATTAAGGATTTATGTGGAGGTTTCATTATTTTCTCCTCTTTTGTTCCTTCCAGGATGTCTTCCAAGCGACCAGCCTCTCCGTATGGGGAAGCAGATGGAGAGGTAGCCATGGTGACAAGCAGACAGAAAGTGGAAGAAGAGGAGAGTGACGGGCTCCCAGCCTTTCACCTTCCCTTGCATGTGAGTTTTCCCAACAAGCCTCACTCTGAGGAATTTCAACCAGTTTCTCTGCTGACGCAAGAGACTTGTGGCCATAGGACTCCCACTTCTCAGCACAATACAATGGTAGGTTTCTCATGGTTTATTGTGCCTACACTCACTTTTTGACCAGTCTACTCCTCTAATAGTTTGGCCTCAGTCCTTTGCTTTATAATTAACATCTACTTAATAACCCAGATACAAGATTTACCCCTGGCATCTTAGAATTCTTTAAAAGTAAATTTGTTCCAATAAGGAGCATAAGACATGCTATTTTTTGTTTCTTTTGTGTTTTTCAAGAATTCTTGCATTTGAGACACTTATAATTTAATTAGAGGGAAAAACATACAAACTATAAAAATAATGTTTAAGATATTTAAAATTATTCAGTATGAAAGTTTGATGTCATACTTTTTCTAATAAGTTTTTTTTTCTGGTATAGTTACAATGAACAGAGTTTGAACATCTCCACTATGATAAATCAGTGTTTTTCTGTTTTGTCGATTGGATAGTATAATATTCCTTAACAGTACTTGGCATTTCATAGAAGAATATATTTCATAGAGACTATAGTATTCTAATGTGACTACACTAATTTATAACTCAGGCCTATTCACCACACTGTTGTTTTGTTAATTCAGCAATTTTTTTTTTTTTTTTTTGCATCCTATTCTGGAATATGCAACTCAGGGAACATCCTCTGACCTCTCATCCTGGGGTCTAGATCACTGTAAAAGATTAGGAAAGCAGGGCTTCGTGGGTGAGAGGAAAGAAGGCAGCATAGCATCTCTGGCTGCAGCTTAAACACACACAAACACAAATAAGTCATTGTGGTCCCTCTGAGCAACTTAAATACATAGAATCATACTGTTAAGAAGTTTGTGGGGCACTTACCTGCCATTAAAGGCATCCTCACATTTTCAGCATGGCTGCTTGGGTGGATGTCACGTTTTTATGACCACTCCACCTTTTCTACTTTAAGGGTGTTAGTGTTGTTAATTTGAACCCGAATTATACGAACAAAAATATATTTTATCTTACATTCTTCTACCTTTAAAAACAGCTCTGATTCTGCTAAATCTTTTTTTTTCTCCAGGAAATTATTGCCTGTCATAAATACAATTAGTGCTGAAATATGTCCACTTGTTCATGTTTTTGAATTACTGCATGTGGAATTAAATCAAGAAGAAGAATCAGATATCTTCTGATAGCTGTGTAACAGATCAATACTTTTTCACGTTAGATTTAAATATTGCCATTCGACATTTCAGCCTCATGGGTCAAGATTTCTTTGGGCATTTGATAATGCCAAGGTTTTTCCACCAAGAGTAGTGTTTTAGGCTGGGCACGGTGACTCACACCTGTAATCCCAGCACTTTGGGAGGCCAAGGCGGGTAGATCACTTGAGGTCAGGAGTTCAAGACCCGCCTGGCCAAGATGGTAAAACCCTGTATCTACTAAAAATGCAAAGATTAGCTGGACATGGTGGTATGTTCCTGTAAGCCCGGCTATGTGGGAGGCTGAGGCAGGAGAATCACTTGAGCCTAGGAGGCGGAGGTTGCAGTGAGCCGAGATCACGCTACTGCACTCCAGCCTGGTGACAGAGTGAGACTCCATCTTGGAAAAAAAAAAAAAAAAGAGAGAGAATAATGTTTTAGCTAACTTATATGTCAGACATATAAAAGTGGTGTTTTTAGCACTTCTTGAAGGTATAATAATTCATTTTACCTTCACGGTAATTCAGTGAAGTATTATTATTAATTCTGTTTTACAGATGAGAAAACTGAGGCAAAGAGAGGTTAAATAACTTGTTCAGATCAGCTAATTCATGGAAGACCAGAGTTTAGCCAAGCAGCCTGTCTTTGGGGTCCATGCTTACAAACATTATGCATGCTGCTGCTTCACAAGAGCACAGGCATATTTTGTATTCTGATTATCTCTTTCTTGGCGAGTTAAATCTTACTGCCCATCATTCCTCCCTCTCCTTTCTACAATGAGCTTATGTAAGTTGTGTACAGTGATCAAACTGTTTACATTCCTCTTACAAAGGTTAGACTAGGAAAAGATGGGAAAAATGTGTAGTACACAGGTCAGCAGGGTAAGGAAGTCAGACATTCCGTTTGGCATTGCATCACTCCTTATGCCTTTTCCACTTTCAATACTTTCATCACTGTCCTCTCTCAGAAAGTATCTAATTAGGAATACTGTGATGGTACCATAAATACAAACATAAACATTTGAAGAGATGAATATAGTTATGACTAGAACAATACCGAAAAGATCAAGGGAAGAAGATTTTAAGTATACTCAAGAATGGGCATGAGAAAACTATATTAAATTATTTATACGTAATGTAGTTTCATGAGGGGATGCAGTGATGCAGATAGTTAATAAAATTTTCCATTTTTAATGGAGAATTCAGTCTAACTAAAAAACAATGAACTGCCTACGCTGTACCATGTTTTAAGCTAGACGCTATGGAAATAGATTTGAGTAAGATACAAACTTCCTTCCTCAGTGAACTTCATCTAAAACAGAAATTCTATTTTATTTTTTTAGAGACAGGTTTATGCAGGCTAGAGTTCAGTGATACAACCATAGCTCACTGTAGCCTTGAACTCCAGGGCTCTAAAGCAGAATTTCTTAACTGGGGTCTATAGATCTCCTAAAAACAAATTGAGAATTCTGTATATGTGAGCATATCAGGGTAGCACTATGGTTTCCACTGGATTCTTAAGTAGATCTGTAACCCAAAATGGTTAAGATTTGTTATTCTAGAAGTTACTACAGTTTGGATACAAATGATTCACCTTAGCTTTAGTAACATCAGCATATACTTTTCTCTTACCATATTTTTAATTAGTTTCTAAATTTGCTTCTGCTGCATATGTTTCTTGATTTCAGCTGTTTTTTCTCTCTTGGGTAGATAGATAGAAGAGTTACCTATATGATCTCAAACACTCAACCTCTTTTCAAACTTACTTTCAACTTCCACAAGACTTGTTTTCCTGAAAAATGACTTGGATTGTTTATCTCACTTTTGAAATTAATGTGTGCCCTGTTACACAGAGGAATTAGTCCAAAACTCCTTTTCTTAGGAAAAAAAAAAATCTCTATAGACTAGCATCAAACTGTGGCTTTAGTGTCTTCTATTAACACATCCTACTATGGACACAATGCCCTGGTGATGCCAAGCTTTTCACACATGTTCATGAACATACCAGATGGCCTTTGAATGGCACAGTTTTATTCTTTCTACTTGGAAAACTCTCTGTTTTCATATGTTACCTTCCTGGCGAATTGTTTCTCCCACAAGACTCGGTTCAAAAATTCCTTTTCCTTACATGCTTTTACTGACCTCCTAAGGCAAAATGGTTACTGCATTATTATTTTTCATCCATGACAATTATTTATATGTTTTCTCATGGTCTACATTATAATTCATGTATTTACATGCCTGCCTTTCTATATACTATATTTCTTTTTGGAAGGCATAGTCATATATATGTATATTTATGCTTCTGGGATCTAGCATGTACTAGATACTCAACTTATGATTATTGACTGTATGAGTTTACTTGGATGAGTAAATATGTTTTAGAGTAGTTAAGGATAGTAATTAATAGTAATTCCATTTTCTAGCACTTTTAGAACTAAAGTAGAATCTACTAATGTATAATATATTCAGAAAGCAAAAAGTCTTGATATATTCAATTATTAAACTGATTAGGATATATTTTTCTCATTTATCAAAATTATTGAATATGTATGTAGTATTCTTCATTATGAATAATTTCTCTTTTTATTCTGGCTACCTGGACATTGTCATATTCACAAAATAGTTTATTTAAGTAAAGAAATACATTCTGTTTATCCTCTTCCATATCTTTGAAAACAGAGATTGCATCATAGTCTTTATATCATAGAGTTCAGTTTAAGAAAAAAAGAAGGCAGTTTTTCATTGCCTATTTTTGTGTGACATTCATACTCCATTCATAAATAAAGAAGAGAGATGCTGGGAGGTATATACTTTGTATTGCCTGATAGGTTGGAGACAAAATAAAAACACTGAGTAATCCCTGTAATGCTGGCTTGAAGTTATGGAGAAACACTTTCAGTATAAAACTTAGGTTGGAAAAGAGTTTTTGAGATAACAGTTCTGTATGTGTCTGTACAAGTAATTACTATTGCCATATAAAGACTTTGAGAAATTAGGATGCTTTGTTCAGTTTCAGGTTATGCAAATGTTAAGGTTTGGAATTGAGTCAGATAAAGATGTAATTCTTCCTTTCTGAAATTGTGTTTACTGCCTCAGTATTTTGGAGAAATTAACTAAACGCCTAGGAATGACTTCCAAACAGCTGTAAGTGGTATGAATCCTTAAAAGTTTATTTATTCTTGGAATATTTCACTCAGTGTTCAGAGTGTACTACAGGTAAACTTTCTTATGCACACATATATATTTATAAAATATTGTCAGATTTCTAATCAATGTAAGATTGAGATACAGATTGTTTTAAGTCTATGAAAAAGACTGATTCTGTTGTTTCCTTCTCTGAAGCTTTCATAATCTTGCCAAGCAATTAAGAACAACATTTGATTGTCATATAATCTTCCAAAAGTTGAAAGCAATGTGAAAGCCTGATTCTGACATGAGTGAAAAGGCAGTCCTGAGCTTTATTATTATTGGTAAATTTTCATTTGTCTCCTTTATTGTTTTTCTTTTTTTTTTCAACTTGACTTTGGAGGCTGTTGCTTCACAATTTCAGAGACAAGCAAGAATCACTGTAATTTTGGGGTCATTTTTAATAGTAGTTTGGATATAGATGGATTTATTTGATGATGGAAAGGATTCTCCCGAATGTGTCCTCATGTCAATTAACATGATGAGTATTTATGGACACCAGAAGGGAATAGAGAACCTCTGAAGAGAAATCAAGTAGCAATATCAGAAGCAGCTGGGATAACTCTATGGTGGCCATTTGATGCTCATTTTAGGTCTGTTGTATGCTACTTCTGTTGGTTAGATTGTTGTTCCAGTGTCAAATGTGTTGTGAAATGAAAGTCTTGACTACCTGTGGTTATTG